CATGTGCAAACATTGTATTGTCTCCCTAATGTGAGATGCTGAAAGTGTAAACAAGTTCTAAAATGTACAATAAATATAGTAAAATTGGAAGTAACTGTTCAAAAGGAAAAAGAAACTGGGATGAGGGAAAGGAGAAAAGAAGGAAGAGTAAGACAAAAAATATATACATAATAATTAAGGTAGTTATACTATTAATTTCTCTCAGTCCATTGAAAAGAAATGTTTGTGCTAATATTGTTTGAACAATTAAATACCTATATCTTGTACTCTGAGTAATTTAAAGATAACAATATGCAATATATTAACAATTTTTACCCTCCTACTACCTTGTTTTGAAATTTTGTTTCATTTTTTTCTCTGTAAAATTAAAAAAATACAATAATGTCAGAAACAACACAAGGATGTCCAGTATCACCCCATCCCTGTTCAATCTAGTTCATTTAATTAGCCACAGCAATCAGGAAAGTGAAATAAACAAAAGTGATATGGATAGTAAAGGAAAAAGTGAAATTACCATTTGCAGATGACATGGTTCTCTACATAGAAGGACCCAAAAACTTCACTAAAAGACTCCTAGAATTAATAACTAAATTCATTAGTGTAGCAGGACACAAAGTCAACATTCAAAAAGTCAACAGTGTGGTTATACACCCACAATAATCTTATCAAGAGACAAATTGTGGAAACAATATCTTTCACAATAGCATCAAGCAAACTTGATACTTAGGAATTACCCTAGTCAAGGAAGTGAAAAACTGCTACAATGAAAACTATAGTATTATGAAAAAAGGAGCTCAAAGAAGACACCAGAAAACAGAAAGATATCCCATTGATAGGCAGAACTAATATACTCAAGGTGGTCATACTTCAAAAACTATTAGACAAATTTAACAGAATCCCAATCAAAATACCGATACCATTCTTCACAGAATTGGAGAAAGAAATCCTAATATCCATACAGAACCCATAAAGACCTAGAACAGCAAAAGCAATTCTGAGCAACAAAAGCAAGTCAGAAGGTATCACAACGCCAAACTTCAGGTTATCCTACAAAGCTACAGTGATAAAACAGCATAGTATTGGCAAAATAACTGGTGTATCAGTGGAAGACAGAAGATGCAGAAACAACCCCAGGCTGATGTAGCTAACTTATCTTTGACAAAGGGACCAAATCCTTTTCCTGAAGGAAATTTAGCTTCTTTAACAAATGCTTCTCAGAAAACTGGCTATCCACACGCTGAAGATTTAATCCAGACCTATGTCTCTCACCATGCACTAAACTAAAATAAAAATGGGTCAAAGATCTAAATATTAAAACATAAATAATCTGTTGGGAGACAAAATAGGTAAACCTCTTGACAACACAGGCAAAGGAAGACCTTCTAAACAGAACCTTGGTTGCACAAGAAATAATACCAATAACTAACAAATAGGATTGCGTCAAATTAAAAAGAGTTTGTAAAGCAAACGAAACCACCAACACAGCAAAGAGACAACTTATAGAATGGGGAAAAAATTCTCCCAGCTACTCCTCAGACAAAGGACTAATATCTAAAATATATAAAATACTCAAAATATCACACCACCAAATTAAAGACCCAATCAAAAATGAGCATCTAAAATGAATAGACACTTCTCAGATGAAGAAGTTCAAATGACCAATAAATACATGAAAAAATGTCCAACACCACAGACTATTTGAGAAAAGCAAATTAAAACAACACTAAGATTCCATCTCACTCCAAAAAGAATGGCTGTCATCAAGAAATTAGCCAATAACAAGTGCTGACAGGGCTGTGGGGGAAAAAAAAATGCTCTTCCCTTGTTGGGGAGTATAAATTGGTAAATTCCTAGGGAAACTAGTACAGAGATTTTCAAAAAACTAAAACTAGAAATTCCAATTGACCCAGCTATTCTCCTTCTAAATATCTTCCTGAAAGAGTTATAGACATCACATTACAGTGATACATGGATACACGTGTTTATAGTAGCCCAATTCATAATAATAAATATTGGAAGCAGCCTATATAGATCAACAGAAAAATGGATTAAGAAAGCGTGGTATTTATACACAATGGAGTACTACTCTGCTATAATTATAAAGGTAAATTTGAGTCATTTGGAGATAAATGGATACACCTTGAAGCCATAATGTTAAGTGAAATAAATCAGACACATAAACTTAAATATTTTATAGTTTCTTTTATATGAAAAACCCAATCTATAAATAAAGTACAAAATTTAAAACAGACAATAGGTGAAAAGGAAGAGAAAAACTTTGCTGTAATCAAGCCTGGCCAGGGTATCTAAAAATGTACCTGGATTCTATATAATTGCCTTATGTGTTTTATAGGTTTTTGGCCTGTTAGATCATTAGCCTGTTTATGATAATTAACTTGATAAGGACTTATAAAATAAATAAATGAATCTAATGCTAGAAAAAATGTAAGGTGGTTTTGGGGAAGGGGGAAAAATTGAGAGGTGTTATGTACATGTACCAATTCCTCACAATGAATATAATCATGTACTGCACACAGGTACTAATAAAAATACAATTTTTAAAATAAAAATAATCTAGATACTGTTAGAACATGTAAATTCCTAGATACTGTTAAACATGTTAGAACATGTTTAAATTTGGAAACTAAATATGTTGGAATGTTTGGGTAATTAAGAGATATTCATTTCACTCATATTTTTGTGCACAAATGCACAAAAGCTTCTTACAAGATATAGATATATACGTACATAAAAGGATAGTTGGGATAATTGTACTGCCGATCTCTATGGGTTATTGAAAGGAACAGTTAATGTTTAATTTTTTGACCAATTTTGGATGCTTATATCTGGTAATCCAAACAACTAATTTAAAGACAACAATATGCAATACAACAACCATTCTTGAATTTCTACCATCTTGTTTAGTGAAGCTCTGTATCATTTCTAATGTTTTTTTATTTTTTTATTCCTTTGATGGTTTGATCAATCTTGCATTCTTACAGCTGGTAGTCTGAGCAACTTCATTGAAAATAACCATATGTAATATAACAGCCACTGCTAATTCCTGTCATTTTGTTCTGAAACCTTGTATCTTTTTTGCTTTGTTTTGTTTTTGTCCATGTTGCTGTTATTTTGGGGTTTTTTCATTCTCTTTAAAATAAAATATATAAAAAAATAAATTCAAAAAGATAGACAACAGATCCACGTCCATTAGTCCATCGAGTAAAAATGCAAACATTGAACTATTTGCAATCTTGCTTTGAAACATGTAGCAGAACAAGTTCACAGAAAATATCAAAATCTACACCAAAAGACCCTTCAAGAAAAACTGCAACCAAAAGAAAAGGAACCCCATGGGAGAAAATTAATTTGGAGTTGAATTTGGGCCAGAAATCCCCCTTTTAAGAAATAACAAATCTTTCTGCAGCAACCAAAGTCTAAAATAAAAAAGCTTATGATCCAGACTGAAAAAAAATAGACCATATGAGAGAACTGTAAGTCCACAATAATGTCCAGTATTTCTTAAACACAACCTTCATGTCAGAGGCTACATTGCAATTATTGTGAATCCTTACACCTTTTGCACAGTAGGATATCATCCTCATATCACATGGGAAAAGAAAGGCTTTAGCCAAGCATACACCCAGTCCAATGTCAAATAGCTAGATAATTGTAGAGTAGAAAATTGAGCTCAGTCTTTCTAACTCCAAAGCCAAGCACTTTCTATTCTATCACACTGTTCCTAAAAAATTTGTAAAGGTAAGGTCACACCACCAGAGAATGGTACAAGAGACCTAGAAATCTCCTGGAAAATTATCTTCTGCTGTTCTGAAGATAAGATTCTTCAAAACACTTTTTAAATTTGTATCAATAAATTTATTACCATTTTATTCCATTTTATTCCTTATAAAAGCCTTTTTGTAAGAAATCAGGAAAATCTAATAAAGTGTCAGATTACAATTATTTATATTATCAAATCACTAGTTTTATTTCCTCATCCAAAATAGCTAATTATACATCAACCCCTAGCCTCTTTTGCCTCTGACCAGCAGTGGGTTACATGAAGACAGGTGATATCATCTAACAAGTTTGGTACGGTCAGAAGAGTAGTGTTTGAACCCAGTCTGCTGCAGGTAATTGCTTGATCCATAGAAAATCACTTTATTTCTTTGAACTCTGGTTTTTTCATCTGAAAAGGGGAGAGATACCCACCAAGAATATCTATGGTGATTACTGAGAAAGTGTATTATTGAATGATTTAAAGTATTCCACAATAAACAATGATCAAAATTGATTACTGCTAACCAGTTAATAATAAAATCTGCCCAGTGAAGGAATAATCATGATTCTTCAGTTTAAATCAATGTATAGAAGACTGCTGGCTGATTCCTCTTGACTTTGTCTAAATAACATCTTATCACTTCCTCAATAAATTAGTTTATCAATTGATGACCTTTTTCTCTGTACTTTGGTGACCAGATGGAGGTGAGGGGGTTCCCTACACCACGCATGCTGTCGTTACCAGAGTTCCTACAGTTTAATTTCATCCTGGAACCAACCAGAGTTTGAGCAGAGCCCACAGGTTAAGGGTTGAATTCCGCAAGACTGTTCTGGCCCACGTCAGATGCCAGTCACAGGAACTAGGTTCCCAAGTTACCCCCAACCTCATCTGTCAGGCTGCAGATTAGAGCCCTCTATGATCTCCTCTCTGGATTTCATCATTTGATAGGGGTTCCCAAAGCTCAGGAAAATTGCTCACTATTATTGCCAATTTATTGCAGAAGTTATTTAAAGGACACAAATGAACAGCCAGATGAAAGAAGCACAAGGAGCATGGTGAGGGAAGGATTTGGAGCTTCCATACCTTCTCTGGGTGCACTAATTCCCAAGACTTGAACATAGTCAGCAACCCAGAAGCCAACCCCTGTCCTTTGCGAGGGTGGAGGCTTTATTACATAGGAACAATGGATTAGGTCATCAGCCTTTGGTGACCAACTCACCTTGTCCTGCCCTTGCCTCTCCAGAAGTATGAAGCTGGGGCTCAAAGGTCCAGTCCTCTGACTGCATGGTTATTTCCCTTGGTAAACAGCCCCCACCTTTCCAGGGCTTTCCAGGACCCCCAGTAATCAGTTATCCATCTCATTCCATCCAGAAATACTGCTCACTTCTGAGCGTGCAGAGGGAGCCCTACGCCAGAAAACAGGGATGGATAGCATATTACAGCACTGATTTAGAATAATTTTATTTCAGCAAAGCATCATCAAAAGTTTTTCCTTACCTAGATATTGTTTTGTGTAGGGTATTTGCTTTCTTGACGTGTCCTAAGCTCTGTGTTAGAGGTACCAACACACTTCATATGATGACTCTCCTACTGTACTTCAAAAAGAAGGGTCTACCACGCAAAATAAACTAGCTTCTTTATACAGCCTTCTAGTCTTGAATTCTTTTTTGCAGTAGACTGCATAAACTACCCAAAATAAGCCATTTAAACCAAAAAATCATGACATGTTCATCTTTTTCTACTGCCCCCACGAATAGAATCCTTGATACAGAGTTGAATTAAATAGAATTGTGCAACCCTGTAGCAGCCTTTAACTTCCATGAGTTTCAAGTGTATGGACTCTGGAAAAAAGAGAATGAAAAAGAGCATACGGAGGAGAAAAGTCACAGTTCTTTGACTCATTCCAACACAAATATAATTAAAGCATCCACCTACCTATTTTTACTGGGAGAAACAAAGAGACAGAAATCTAGAGACAGAGATTCCTGAAGGGTAGTGAAATGGAAGGTGTGAAATTGCTTTTACCCATCCCTCTCAGTTTCAGATAACCTGTCAAGATATGTCACTAGGTTGTGTGATTTTAGCTTTGAAACATTCATATTTTTCATAGAAGATGACCCCAGAGCAAAGATACATATGTCATCTATTGCTCAAGCAGCAAAAATAGTCTTCTGTTCCAACATCAGAGGTAAAATTGGCTGTAATGAGCTTCATAAAGAATGTTTTTCTTCACAATGATATTTTCCTAAGGGCTTTTTCAACATACTTTTGAGTCGACACACCTTGCTTCCCATGTCACCAAGTCGATGCCAAGTGGCTGTTTATTTGCTTGCACATCCATCACATTCTTACAGAAAATTTTGTTCATTGTTTCAGAGAACTACCAGGTGTGGTCAAAGACTATGGTGAATTTTTAATTTTTTTAATTAAAAAGACATAAAAGGCCAAAAGTAATTAAAAAGACTAAAATAGTCGCCACTAATTCCTCTCCAAAATATTCCCTCTTGGTTTAAACACACCTATCCCATTGCTTTGGCCACTTTCTGAAGCAGTTTTAGAAACCCTTTTGGTATCTTTTGCCATGCTGTTGTGACTGCCTTGATGTCCTCAGCTGATTCAAAACCTTTACCTTTCATGGTCATCTTGACTTTGTGAATGAGCCAGAAGTCCCATGATGCAAGATACGGTTAATGAGGTAGATGAGAACACACCGTAATGTTTTTACAACGCTGTCTTTCCACTGGATGGCATTCAACAGCAGCATTCGTGATATTTTTTATCACACCTCATAAACACACTCAGACAAGAGGACTTCCAGAACTGCTTCAGCAAGTGAAAAGAACAATGGAATAAGTGCGTTTGACACAAAAGGATGTCATGAGAGGAGGATGAATGTAATGACATTTACTATAACAAATTTTATTTAAGCCTTCACCGTGTATTACATCACCCTGTGTACAGTTCACGGGATCGCTTACCCTGTACCTTCCAGCTAAGTTTGGCCAATGGATGGCACTGGCAGAACATTGTAGTGCAGAAGGAAGGATGCCAGAGTACTTCTCCCACCCTCTTTGCTTTTGGTGCTATCACTGGCAGTAGCTTGTCTCCATAACTCCAGCACGATGAACAGACCCTACTATGATTTTCTTCTTAAGATTACTCAGCTTCTCAGAAACTAATTTTCTCAAATATGGAAGTTAGGAGAGCTATGCGAGATCAGTGATTTTTAAACTTTCTTGGAATATTAATTCATATGAGAATATAATGCAGATAAAAAGGGATTTGTTTTCAAACACTAAACAATTTTAGGGATTCTAAGATCCTTTGAACTTCATGCATGGTCCTTTAAAAGTCCATGGACTGACGGTCAAGAGAACCCAGACTAGATCTCAGACACCCCCAAAGCTTTATTTACTCCTTGCATTTTGTGGATTTCCCTTTATCAGGTAAGGGAGCTAAGGCCGATATAAAAGGATTAGAAGAGACAGCCAAAGTAATCTCTCATGTTGCCCAAAAGAATGAACTGACACACATTTTCCCCAGGCCTCGGACACGTATTTCTTCCTGAGTGCCTGAGATGAGATCAGCTTCTTGGAGTCAGGAGCTTCCTGGCATGCCCAGTGTGAGGAATGAGGATGCGAGAGCTATCTGGAATGATGTTACACCAGGCAGAGTGCCATTCTCTCTCCAGTGTGTGAAGAGACAAGTAGAAACTCCTAAGGGAACTGAAGAATGCCAATACTTCCAAATCTCAGGACAGACACTGGAAACCTTCATGAAGCTTAGGTTTGACTCAGTTGTTCCCCCATGATTCATTTGGATAGCTGGTCCTCTGCCTCCCGCTCTTGCTTCACCAACTCCTCATACCAATCCGTACACCTCCGGCTCTCCGTCTGTTTACAAGTTGCCTTCTGCTTCAACAGATAAGTCCAAAAGTCTGGTGACACTTTCCTTGAAGAAAAGTAGGCACCATTCTGATCAAGCAGAGAATGCTAGCAATTCTAGCAAATGTTATTCAGAATACAGAAACAATGATACATCAACAGATTTATATTTAATATAAACTTGAAATCACTGTCTCAATTCTTTGATTTTTGTTTGATTTTTCTCACTACATGTTTGCAGTACACATTGATTACATCCCTCATGAGGAGTTGGTACATGTACAGGACACATCTTAAGATTTTTTTTAGGTCTCCTTTTCCTCCCTTGCCTCCTAGCTGTATTTTCCCCTATCCTCCTTCTCCTTCCCTCTCTCCTTTCATTTGTTCTTTAACCTATTATCCATCGTATTTTTGCCCTTTATGTATAATTTGGATTTCTCAGATGAGAGAAACCATGCAGTACTTAAGCTTGTGCATCTGATTTACTTCAATTAATATTATGGTCTCAATGTGCATCTATTCCCTACAAATGAGTCGAGTTTATCATTCCTGATGGCCGAGTAGTGCTCCACTGCATATGAATACCGCACGTCTTTCTCCGTTCTTCTGTTGGTGGACATACAGGCTGCTTCCAAGATTCAATCTTCTGCATGTGGAGAGCCAGTTTTCCCAGCACCACTTGTTAAAGAGGCTGTCTTTCCTGCAGGAGATTTCTGGCCCCTTTATGAAAGACTGGTAGCCGAATGTGCTTGCAGCTGTTTCTGAATCTCCTATCCTGTTCCACTGGTCTACGCGCCTGTTTCTTTGGCCAATACCATGCTATTTTTATTACTGTAGCTTCATAGTAAAGCTTGAAATCTACAATTATGATTCTTCATGCCTTTGTCTTGTTACCCAGAGCTGCTTTTGTTCTTCTAGGTCTCTTTTGGCTCCGTATGAATTTTAGAACTTCTTTTCTAGTTCTGTGAAGAATCCTGTTAGTAATTTTTTGATTGAGGATTGCATTAAATCTATACATCAGTTTTGGAAGTATGGCCATTTTTACTATATTCATTCTGGCTATCAAGGAACAGGAAATATCTTCCACATTCTGATGTCCTATTTGATCTCCTTTTTTAGAGTACTGTAGTTTTCATTGTATAGGTCTTTCACTTCTTTGGTTAGGTTAATTCCTAAGTATTTAGCTTTCCTTGATGCTATTGTGATTTTTTTTTTTACCTAATTTCTTTCTCAGTGAATTTATTATTAGTGTACAGGAATGGTATTCATTTTTGCGTGTTGATTTTGTATGTTGCTGCAATCCTGAATTTGGTTATTAATTCTAGCACTATTTTGGTGAAATTTTGGGATTTTCTAAGAAAATGTTCATGTCTTCTGCAGATAATGATAACTTGATTTCTTCCTATGTGATATATATCCCTCTAATTTCTTTCCCTTGCCAGATTGCTCTGGCTAATGTTTTTAAAACTTTATTGAACAGTAGTGAAGACAAAAAACATCTTTGTCTTGTTCCTGATTTTAGAGGAAAAGCTTTCAGCTTCTGCTCATTCAGTGTGATATTGGCTGTTGGTTTCTCTTAAACAGCTTTTATCAGATTGAGATAAGGTACTACTATAAGTATTTTCTTCAGGATTTTTCTCATGAATGGACACTGGATTTTAGCAAAAGCTTTTTCTACATTGACTGAGAAAATGGTGTGATTTTTTGTTCTTGTTTCTTTACATAATGTATTACATTTTTTGATTTGCATATGTTGAACAATTTCTGCATCTCTGGGATGAATCCTACTTTGTAATGATGTATGATCTTTTTTATGACTCTTGTATTCTCTTTACCAGTATCTTGTTAAGGATGTTTGTGTCCAGGCTCATTAAAGAGATTGGTCTGTAGTCGTCTTTTCTGGTTTTGGAATTAAGGTAACGCTAGCTTTAATGAATAACTTTGGGAGTTTCAATCCCATTAAAAATTGTGAAGAGCCCGGGCTGCTGGGGCATGCCAGGCACCTGGAAATGCAGGCAGCAGGCACCCGGGAAGTTGCATGGAGAACCACCATGCCACAGAGAAGCACTGACACAATGGGCCCGCCCAGGGACACATGAACCATCCCGACATGGAGAAACCTCTGGGAAAACATGCCACACGGCGGGTCACTCTTGGCCCAGCCCTTGAGAGCCAGAAAGGTCCGGAGTCAGAGGAGGAGCAGCTGATGAACAAGGACTCAGAGAACACGAGAGTACTGACGCTCGATGACTCAGAGGTCGAGCTGACTGGGGACGCAAGAGCCATTTGGGAGCCGGAAACCAGGAAGACCTTGTGCAATACCTGGGGAGACTCCCTGAAGGCCATTCTTCCCCTAACTGTACAGGCTGCGGTGGAGGAGCGAGTGGAGCTCCAGAGAGGTCTGCACTGAGACTTCATGGATTACATGGGTGCCCAATATTCAGATTCTGTAGAACCGCCTTCATGGAGAAGGTATGTGTCTGCGTTACCTGCCTGGGACACTTCGCACCTGATAGTGCTGAGACTGACTAGCGGGCTGAGGACTTCATCCACATGTTCCTGCCGCCTGTGTTGACAGTTGGGGAGAGGACACTAAGTGGTTGTGGGGCCCCAATGTGCTGGGAGGCTGGAGAGAACACCCCTCTGCTTTCTTAGACAAGAGGCATTGAT